ACTGGAGTAGTATGATATAAAGTACACCATGTGTGAGACGAAGACGTTTTTCTATTATCGTAATTGTAAGATGTAAGATTTTGGTCATTCGTGACGGAAAGTTGAAAATCAAACATGTTTCATAATTTTTTCCACGAATGAACAAATGCTTGTGTGTGCGTGTAACTAGAGCTAGCTGCGTAGAGGTGAATTTATGTACGCATGCGTAGTGACGTGACAATTCAGAATGGCGCGCCCATTTGATGGATAGTAGCCTAATTCTTAGTCTTAGCTATTAACGCTGTTACTACGCCGTAATCATAGTCGAAAGAGCAAATTGTCGCAAGCAATGGGTTCGAACCTGGATCCAGAGAAGGCATTCAAGGGAAGCTTTACTCGTCGAAGATCCCTAGAGATATTTCGTCAATGTCATCGCCTAGACAGACAGTCTTTTAAAGATGTTTGGGCAATGGTCATTTTGAATTGTCACGTGACTACGCATGCGTATATAAAGTTACCTCTAAGCAGATATAGCTTTAGTTAATCTTACATAAATTTAGCCGCACACGGAAGCTATCGCCTTATGGAGAAGTGCACGAATGAATTGATGGCTGATGGCTCGTGTGTGCGCCTGTGCTAACAGGGGGAATGAAGTTGTTTTGTGTCGCTCTCGTCTTGATCATACTCACCTCCCGAACTGCTATTTGCTCAAGCGAGAGCCCCAACCAGTCTGTGAGCACTGATAGTGAAGCACATTCTGATTGAGTGTAAGCATCTCAAACCTATAGATCTCAGCACCACCGTGCCGGATCTTTGTTTCAGCTTTTTGCACAACCTTCTCTATATGAGAAGGTTGTTACATATCTGAAACAAATAAATTTTTATTTCAAATTTTAAAGTGATTAGTTTGTTTTTAATATTTTGTTTGTTTTTAATACCACCATGTGGTGTATGACCTGTGATACTGTTTTTATTTATGTTTTTTGAAGTCACTGAGTGACTTCTCTTTCTGTGATATTTTCTTGTTTTGTTCTGTGATAATGTGATTTGTTATATATTGTTCAATGTTTTAGTTTTGTTTTTATGACATGATATTTACACCGTATTCTGGAGCTATATATCCCGTTTGGTGCTGATGCTCCTAAATGCATTTCATTTCATTTCGTGTGTGCGCCGGACTTTACATCGGTGGAAGGCAAGAAAAAGGGGCCGACAGGAAGTGACAAAGCTGTCTTAGCCGCCGCATCTGCCTCGTAAATTGCCCGTATAACCATATTTGACTGGGGAGCCAGCAAATATTCTCACTTGGCCCCGAACGTTAAGATATAATGAAGATGTCACCAGTAATATGGCCAAAAGTTCTGATGTGAATATCGCGGCTGCTGGTGGTAAAGCAACACACAGGACTTCGGATGGTGTAATTGTAGCGACTGCGTCTCTTTCGCCATCCTTGGACCCATTTGTATAATAAGGTGCAAAATCCTCATATTTAGAGTTCCAGAATTTAGATTTGATAAACCAAGGTGGAGCTGTAAAAATGATGAAGTCGGCAATACAGTCATGGCAGATACCAGCCGCTGACATAAGAGGTTGAATGCAGACTCCGACACAGGGAATGACATGATGCTTTGCCTCTTAACGATGTTCAAAGTAATGTCTAAATACACAGCTTTTTTAATGATACACTGCAAAGAAAGTATGTCGTACAATGAGGGTTTATTACTCGAGTAGTATGATATTAATTACACCATGTGTGAGACGAAGACTGATTCTATCATCGTAATTGGGGTTGGTTATAAACACCAGTTTAGGGAGTTCCTAATCGAGACAACTGGCAATAAAAATTTAATTAACATGAAATGGCATGATGATATCATTGAAACCTTTGTAAAGCACTTGCAAGTATTCCAAAGATTAAAGGTGCTAACCTGAAAATAAGTCCCTAAAAGGTGGATTCCTCCAAAAAAAGTTACATTTCTTGGTCATGTGGTCAGCAAAGAAGGAGATCACGAAAAAACAAAACGTATAAAAGTTTGGCCAATACCTCCTAATGTAAAAGAAGTAAAAGGAGTCAGACATTCTTTAGGTTTAACTTCTTATTATAGAAGATTTGTGTACAAATTTGCTGACATAGCACGCCCCTCCAAAAATTGACAAGTGTTAGGTTATAAATTAAATTGGAATGAGGATTCTATCATTTGATAAATTAAAATCTGCATTAATATCTCCCCCAGTATTAGCATATCCAATAAGTGGTACTGAATTTATATTAGACACTGATGCCTCTAATGAAGGATTAGGTAGTGTTTTATCACAAATTCAAAATAATGAGGGAAGTTAAAAGTTATTGTAGCAAAGCCTTCAGTAGAGCTGAGTATTGTAACACAAGAAAAGAACTTCTTGCAATTGTCAGCTCAATTAAACATATTCATCATTACTTTTTTTATGTCCACCTATCATATATAGAAATGGTAAAAACCATGGGAATGCAGATGGCCTTTCTAGAAGACCTAGTCTTGAAAGTTAGTCATGGAGCCCAGAACACTTTTAGTAAACAAAAAAGATAGCAATATTGGGGCTTGTAGTGTTTTAGATATCAGTGTATAGTACATAGTAGAAAAATGACTTCTGCGCATTAAGCCCTTAATTACCAACCCCAAATATTGACTATTCCAAACCAAGATCATGTTAACATGAACCAGCTTCATCTTTACAACTACAATTCGAGTATG